TCGTCGCCCAGAGACCAATAAATATAAAATATCAGACGCAAGACGCGGCACTGATGAATCGTCGACTCGAGGTTTCCCCAGATGTTTGAAGCCACCAACTTTCTGTGGTAGGAAGCTCAGCTCAGCAGGTTTTTGCCCTGGATACCTCCACCAATGCACTACCAAGAGGTGGCTAGGGGATAATGGAGGGCAACGTAGCGATATTAATTGTTGTACCGTACTCGAATGTTCCCCACGTCTATGCCCTTCCCACCTTCACCGATCCGCTTATGACCGCCACAGCCTGACCTTGCAGTTTCAGTTTCATTTATTAGGTAGAGCCCTGTGAGCCATTCGGCTCTTGAATCGGGCGCAACCGCAAAAAAAAACATGAACAAGAAACCGTCTTAAAGTGACTATGCGCAAACAGAAAAATCCAGGAAAAAACTGCAAAGTCTTCCAGAAAAAAAGCACCGTACACCAACGCTGTGCAAAAATCCTAGTGGGATGCAAGTCAAACAACAACAACTACAACCACAAGACAACTTAGATTAAGGCCATCAGTCTAACTCCGTACTACAACAAACAAACATGGCCAAACCAAAAAACTTTTCGAAATCAAAATAAAGCCATAAAAGCAATGTAACAGTGATCATCGGAACTGTGAGCGAAATTTCACAATAAACGACATAAACAACATGTACCACCAAAACCCGGCAGCCATAGCCGGCTGTATGAGTCACTCCACAACAGCAGGAGGAGCATCAGTAGGAGTATCACGATTTTCAAATGCACCTTTTGCAGGACGTAAGCTCATTATTGTGAACTACTACGCAGCAGTAGTTGCGTTCCTGAATAACGCCGCGTTATGGGAAAAAAAATCACGTTATAACAAATTTTTCTAATATAGGGGGGAGATGCGGGCGTAGGCTGATCAAAGACCGAAGGGCGTGGCGGGTAGCACCTCGAAGCATCCAGCAGCATCCCGACGTCTTGCGTCACGATGACGATGATGAGGACGATGACGATGATGATGATGAGGATGCAACGCCGACGCAGCCGCTACGACCTCGTTCCGTTCGCTCGATCGCGTCCTATTCAATTCACACCCGCGTTGTAACGATACAATTGCGTTTCCGAATACATTCACCCCGTATGGGGGGGGGGGTGTTGGGGGGAGTGTTGGGGGGGTGTGTTGGGGGGTGGGGGGGGGAGAGGGGGGTCTTGGGGGGGGTGTTGGGGGGTGTTGGGGGTGTGGGGGGGTGTGTTGGGGGGGGGGTGTTGGGGAGGGGGGGGTCTTGGGGGGGGGGTGTTGGGGGGAGTTTTGGGGGGGTGTGTTGGGGGGGGGTGGGGGGGAGAGGGGGGTCTTGGGGGGGGGGGGTGTTGGGGGGAGTGTTGGGGGGTGTGTTGGGGGGTGGGGGGGAGAGGGGGGTCTTGGGGGGGGGGGGTGTTGGGGGGTGGGAGCGGAGCTATATCACCGCCGTAAATATCCCGTGACACAAACAAATAAAAAACAACAACAAACAACAACAACAAACAACAACAACCAACACAAGATGAAAAGCAAAGAAGGCGAATGTCACCGTGACATAATGACGGTCAATTTGCAAAGGTCCTGACGAGCAGTCGGCTACGCGCCCACGTGTTGCTGAAGCCTTTGATGGGGGGATGGAGGGGGGGGCATTGATCTCCCCCCCCCCCCCCTGAGGAATATTCCGCAAGTTCGCATCCCCGACCGGGTTTCCACGCGTGGCCTCCGCTTTTTAAATCCTTTATATTAAGTTCGCTTGCTTGTGCTTGCGCGCTTACGACCGTGCAAATCTTTCGGTCGTTTTTTTAACCCACTTCCCGTGATCCAATCGAGCTGACATTTTGCACGCAGACTCGTTGTGCGTGACAATTTATTTTCGTGAAAATTTTTGTTCCCAAAATTATCCACTTTTTAGGAATTTTTTTTTTCATATTTAATTTAAAATACCAATGTGATAAAAATGAAACTCTTACTCACGAAAAACAGAAATGAATAATAAAATAAAACCGATGCCACGCATATAAAGGATTTATAGTGAAAAACTTTGTTTTTACGGGTTAATTTTTTAAAACACGCGAAGCCATCGCTGAGTTCTCCCAGGCGTATCAATCGGCTCGAATGGGATGTTGGGAATATCTCTCATGGCCAAGGATGGAGTGGGGGGGGGGGTGTAGGGGGTTTTGGGAAGGTGTATTCGTTCAAATGTAATTTATATTTAATTTATATATTTAAATGGGCTTGGTGACTTCACTTACGGGACGGTGACACGGAATTGGGATGGTGTAATGAGTAGGTATGAAATAAATGTCATTTATTTTGTACCTACGTGACTTTACCGAAAGAACCAAAGAGTATGGATTCCTGCAGTCAGGAAACTTCAAATCTAGAATCAATGAGTGACAGTAGCGGTAGGGAGGCACTCAGTAGGGATCGCGACAGGGGGCAGTGCTGAGTCTATGGGCAGTGCTGAGTCTATGGGCAGTGTTGAGTCTATGGGCAGTGCTGAGTCTATGGGCAATGTTGAGTCTATGGGTAGTGTTGAGTATGGGCAGTGCTGAGTCTATGGGCAGTGTTGAGTCTATGGGCAGTGTTGAGTCTATGGGCGGTGCTGAGTCTATGGGCAGTGTTGAGTCTATGGGCAGTGTGAGTATATGGGCAGTGTTGAGTCTATGGGCAGTGTTGAGTCTATGGGTAGTGGTCCAACCCATATGAGACTAGGCTCTACGGAAAGCTGTCTCGGGTGTTGACCAATCAACTTCAAAGACAGTCCATACATTATCAGAGTTATGTTTTTTGTTTGCATTATGACTGCAGGTATTGTGGTCTATGCAGACATGACTCCTCGTAAAAAAGGTGTCAGTTTTGTCCAGATAAAAGGTTAAAAAAACAATTATTAAATGTGCAATGTTGAGTCTATGGACAGTGTTGAGTCTATGGGCAGTGTTGAGTCTATGGTGCATTGCTGAGTCTATGGTGCAGTGTTGAGTCTGTGGTGCAGTGTTGAGTCTATGGTGCAGTGTTGAGTCTGTGGTGCAGTGTTGAGTCTATGGGCAGTGTTGAGTCTATGGGCAGTGTTGAGTCTATGGGCAGTGTTGAGTCTATGGTGTAGTGCTGAGTCTATGGTGCAGTGCTGAGTCTATGGGTGACAGAGTAACGGCGAGGCTTCAAGAGATGAACGCAAAGCGGTTAAGGAGTAAATAACTTGCTTAATGAATCTGCCAACAGTCATAGCACCCGTCCTGTGCTGACCTCTCGCAAACCTCAAGAACCGTGACTCACACCCTGAGCCCGGATATGAACGCAGAGAACAAAACGGGCAAATTAAGTGTCTCCAAAAAGGGCGATGCAATTTTTTCTTTACTGCCCGGGGACTTCTCTCTAAAGCCGGTCTTGTGTTCAAGGCCTCCGGCAGCCAGGTACGTGCGCTGGATTTCTTTCGCGCCGTACGTAGCCAACCCGCGCTAACCGAGTGCAAAGCCAAGAGCTGTTTGGGTTGAGGTGGGCTGTCAAGAAATAGGCTGTGTGACGTCATCCACGTGGTTGATCACGTGGTGGGGGTGGGCAAAGGGGTGTGGCAGGAAAGTGCTAACACTGGTCAACACACTTTTCTGGCATAAGGTATTCCAACGGTTTTAAAGTATTTTTGGGGTGCTGATTCCAAATCTGGCATC